GTAGTAGCTATTACATTGAGAACTGAAGCTGATGTAAAAAACAGATAATGTCAATAAAATGTTGAAAAGAAAAGAAGGAACAAAAATTAATATGGTCACATCATTTAAAAAAAGTCAGAAGAGAATAAAGTAAGATGCTTTTCACTATGGATTGGGGAAAAATTCTTAACTATACAAGAATATAGTTATCACAAGCAATAAAATATATCATTTTGACTACATGAAATTTAGAAAAAATTACATCAAATATCTCTAATATCCAGGATATACAGAGAATTAACACTAAGAGCCATTCCTCAACTGAGTGAGTAGTCAATGATTATGAACAGTTATCAAAAGAAGAATTGTAAATTCTTAATAGTGAGTTATATAAGATTCCTCCAAATAACTAATAATAAGAAAACTGCAAATCAAAATAGCTTGAAGTTTCACCTAGTAACTCTGAAAATTGTCAGAGATGACAATGAAAACAGTCACTATTGGAAAGGCTGCAGTGTGACAAGCACACCAATGCACTATTATTGAGCTGTGAATTGGTCTAACTCAGGGGTGGGGAGCCTGCAACCTCAAGGTCTAACCATTCTGGAAAAAAAATTGGGAATTTTGCTAATATAGGGACTAAAATGTCCATTCCTTTTAGCTTGGAGATTCTACTCCTGGCATATTGCCCAGGGAAGTCAAAGAAACAAAGTTCCCATATTCATCAAAATATTAATATTCAATTCAATAAATATTTATTTAGCACCTACTATGTGTCAAGCACTGTGCTAAGCACTGGGGATACAGAAAAAGGCAAAAACAGTCCCTGCCCTCAAGAAGCTTACAATCCAATGGGGAAGACAACATGCAAACAAATATATACATAGCAAGCTATATATAGGATAAATGAGAAATAAAAGGGGGAATAAGAATTAAAAGAGGGAAAGCACTGGAATTAAAAGGGGTTAGAGAAAGCTTCCTGCAGAAGATAAGATTTTAGTTGGGACTTAAAGAAAACTAAGAAGGATCAGAGGAAGGAAGGCATTCCAGGTATGGAGAATGGCAAGAGAAAATGCCTGGAGCCAAGAGATGGAGTCTGTTGTTCATGGAACAACCAGGAGACCAGAGTTACTGGATGGAGGAGTACATGTTGGGGAGGAAGATATAAGAAGACTAGAAAGGTAGTAGGGGCTAGGTTATGAAGGGCTTTGAATGCCAAACAGAATTTTGTATCTGATCTTGAAAGCAATAGGAAGTCACTGGAATTTATTGAATAGGGGAATGACATGATCCAACCTGTGTTTTAGGAAAATCACTTTAGCGGCTGAATGGAGAATACGTTGGAATAGAGACTTGAGACAGGCAAACCCACAAGCAAGCTACTGCAATAGTCAAGGCATGAGGTGATGAGGGCCTGCACTAGAGTAGTGACAATGTCAGAGGAGAGAAGGGAACATATATGAGAGATGTTACAAAGCTGAAATTGAGAGTCCTTTGCAACAGCTTGAATATGGGGGGGGGTGAGAGATAGTGAGGACTCCAGGATGACTCCCAGGTTGTGAGCCTGAAGGACTGAGAGGATGGTGTTGCCCTCTACGCAAAAGGAAAATTAGGCATAGGAGAGGGTTTAAGGCAGGAGTGGGGAATCCACATCCTTAAGGTCACATGTGGCCTTCTAGGCCCTTAAATGTGACCTTTTGACTGAATCCAAATTTTACACAACAAATAGTTTTGCAGAACAAATCTTTGTTCTGTAAAATTTAGATTCAGTCAAAAGGCCACACTTATGTGGCCTTAAGGATGCAGGTTCCCCACCCCTGGTTTAAAGAGAAAGATTATGAGCTCTGTTTTGGATATATTGAGTTTAAGATGTCTACTATATGTCCTTCCCAAGATGCCTGAAAGGTAATTGGAGATGTGAGATTAAAGGTTAGCAGAGAGATTGGGTCAGGAATGGTAGATTTGAGAATTGTCAGCATAAAAATGGTAATTAAATCCATGGGAGCTGATGAGATCACTAATCAAAGTACAGAGGGAGAAGAGAAAAGGGCCCAGGACAGAACCTACAGTTAGACGGTGTGTTCTGGAAGAGAATCTAGGAAAGGTGATAGAAAAGGAGTGGTCAGATAGGTAGGAGAAAAACCAGGAGTGCTATCCTTGAAAACCTAGAGAAAAGAGAATATCAAGAAGAAAAGAGTGATCAACAGCATCAAAGGCTGCAGAGAGGTCGAAGAGAAGGAGGACTGAGAAAAAGTCATTGGACTTGGCAACTAAGAGATTGTCAGTAACTTTGGAGAGAGCAGTTTAGAATAATGATAAAGTCAGAAGCCATACTGTAAGGGATTAAGAAGAGAGTGAGAGGAGAGAAAGTGGAGGCACTTAGAACTTTTCCAGGAGTTTAGCTACAAAGGGCAGGAGAGAAATAGGATGGCATTTCACAAGGATAGAAAGGTCAAGTGAGGATTTTTTCAGCATGGAGGAGACATGGGCATATTTGTAGACAGTAGGAAAGGAGCTAGTAGAGAGGCAGATGAGACATGAAAATAAGAGAAAGAGTGGGGCTGACAGAGGGGACAATCTGTTGGATAAAATGGAATGGAATGGCATCACTTGAAAAGGTAGAGAGATTAGCCTTGGTAAGGAGGAGTGAGATTTCATCCTGTGAGAAAGGGGTGAAGGAGGAGAGAGTGGAAGAAGGCATCTGAATTTTAGGAAATGAGGAAGAGAGAAGAAAGGGGAGTTCACAGCAAATGGTCTCAATTTTTTTTCGTAAAATATGAGTTGAGGTTCTATGCTGAGAGAGTTAAGTGAGGGGGAAGTTTGAGGAGGGATGAAAATGTTTGGAAGAGTTACTATGGAGAATGGAATAGTGAATTGATTAGAGTGGTATAGTAGCATTGCCTTGCAGCAGTGAGGGCCCAGTCAGATTGTATAACATAAATTTGTAATGGATCCAATCAGAAGAGTTGTGTAATTCTCTTCTTTCAGCAGCATGAGTGTAAGCACTACCACTTTTGTGGTAGCAAAAAAATGGAACAATGGAGATGTCCATTGACTAAAGAATGGCTAAACAAATCATAGTAAATGAATTCAATGAAATATCATTGCACCATAGGAAAGGACAAAAACAAAGAATTCAGAAAACACAAGAAGTTTTAAATGCAAAGTGAAGCAAGCAGAACCAGGAAGACAACATACATAATGACTACGACAATGTAAATGGGAAAAAATAATAAAACAAAATTGAATGCTATAAAACTATAATAATCAAGCTTGGCCCCAGAGATGAGTAGAGAAAATGTATCTCCTTCCCTTATTTTGAGAAGTGGAAGAATATTTCATGTAATGTCAGACACAACTAATGTGTTGGTTGGTTTTACTGGTCTTTTTTTTTCTTTTCCCTTTTTTTTTTGAATCTTTGTTACAAAGGAAGGATCACTGTGTTGGGAGAAAGGGTATATCCAAAAATGAACATACTATGAAAATCAAAGATATTTATTTTAAAATTATAAAAGAAATAGTGGATATATTATTTAGAAGTTACATTATACTCATGCCAACTTAAATCGTCTCTGTTCCAAATATCTTTAAAGAATTTGCTATTGCCCAAACTCAACATTCCATCTCACCCCTCCATTCCTTTTCAGAATCTATTCCCTCATACCTAGAATGTACTCACTCCTTTCCCTCACCTCTCAGAATCCTTATCAACCTAGATGTTTGGAAGCCTTTCTTGACCTGATCCCCCTAGTCGTTAGTGCTCTTTCCCTCCACAAATTCCCTCTACATGTTTAGAAGAATATAAATTCCTCATTTGGGATAATTTTTGTTTGTATTGCCACCGCATCCACAATGTCTAGCATGTTTCCTTGCTCATGATAGGTGCTTAATATTTGTTGAATCAACAGAAAAACCCCTTCACTGAAAATAGGAATAAAAGATCTGCTGTAATTTCCCACCAATCAAGATCCCTCCTATAGATTTTCCAATAGAATTAGAAATTCTTGGGATTTAGAATTTAGAATTTTCTTGGGAAAGGCTAGACTCTCCCAACTTCAGGCCAAAGGAGTGGAATCAGCTGATGTCAACAACCACAGCTGATGTTCTTTGACCCACGGCTTTGTCTTAGCCAGTTCCCAAAGTCCTATTCCCACCAGCAACCCCAGGCTGTTATTCCATAATATGTGTAACAGCTTTGTGTCCATTGTGTAGCCTACAGCAGCTCTGTAGGACTGTGGAGAAAGTTTGAATGTCAGAATCAAGAGTTTCTTGGTCTGGGGGGAGCTCCATGTCAAACTAGAGAATTAAATAGCTAGAGTGTGATTGAAAAAGCTGGACTTGTCCATTCCCATGTTAGCCAAAATCGAGGTGGCACAAGGCAAACAGGCTGAAAACCTCCCTCAGCTCTGCAGGGCTACAGCCAATAAAAACAAACACTGCCTACATCCAGCTGAAAAGACTTGGCCAAAAACATTCACATTCATAGCCAATGATCCTAAGAAGAAATCTTTACAAATACCAGTTCATGTTTCTTAGCATTGTTTATTATTCCAAACAGCTATCTATGGCAGTCAGAGTGGTGTAGGCTTCAGCAAATTGACAAAGGGGAGCCAGGACACAAAAAAAGTTAAGGACTAGAGATCTCCAGGGTTTCTGCCAGCTCTCACATTCTGTGGTCTAACATTCTATAGTCTAAGGCCTCTAGCTCTAGCCTTTTAAATTCTATTTCACAAGTGGACAAATAAAGCTAAGTGTTTCTCTACAACTTCTCTCTTGGATAAACCAGTCAAAAGGAGGCCACAGACAAGAGGAATTGCCTTTCAGGAATCAGAACCCACTGTGTGGCTGTGTGGTCAGTTTTACATTGTACTGACTAATACAGTGACTCAGCTATAGCAAGACTTTGGCATCTGAGGGTGGAACCAGGTAATGACCCAGCTTTCAAGTGGCTTTTTATGGAGCACTCAAATGATGAGCAGATTGCAGTAAATGAATATCAATGAGAAACGTGTCTGCTTTGCCAAAAGAAAGTCAGTTTATTAAGAAGTTACAGAGGAGTGCCTCTTGTGTTTTGAGGAAGATTCTAAGGCAGCGGGGAAGACAGCAAACCCAATTTTTAAAAAGGGGGCAGACGATCATACTTGAGTTTCCAAATCTCTGGAAAGCCAGTACCCTTGGGTGTAACTCTGAATGGTCCATTTTAAGGGTGTATATATTTCCAATGTGTTTCCTCCCCATCTCCCAGCATCCCATTGATGTGAACAGGGTTCCGGGATGGTTAGAAGCACTTGACCTTTTCCTCCATTCACCTCCTTGCTATGACACCTTTAGCGCACGAAGGAGGTGCAGGGACCATAGCGTGAATGAGGGGCACAGGGTATACAGGGGGCACAGGGGGCACAGGGGGCACATGGGATGCAAGGATTGGTGACTGGGCAGGGGCCAATGGGTTTGCCACAGGCATTGGTTGTAGCACAAGGGTTGCAGGGAAGCCTGGGAAGATAAAAAAACAGCAGAGTTGAGTTCCTGTGGGGGCAATCAGTCCAGAAACCAGAAAATATAAACCAGTCTGATGAAGCAGTACAAGTACCCAGCACAACATGTCTTATGGAAAACAAGAATGGAGGCTTGGCTAGGAGCCTTTCCACTGCTACTTAGTAAAGTCAATTTATGGGCATGCTAGGAAAGTCCAACCTCCATCTACACAGAAAAAGCCCCTACTTTGGAACATATAGAGCACTTTGCCGAATTCCTCTTCCTCTCAAGCCTGGCTCCTTGGCTTCATTAGGAAAAGCAAAAGTCATAAGATTAGACTTGGAGAGCACAAGCCAGGTGACTTCAGGGACATCCTTGCCATTGATTATTTTATATTCTCCAATGAAAATAGCATTGCTAAAAAAATTAAATAAAATTTAAAATTAAAAAATTTTTAAAATTTTTAAAAAGAAAATAGTATTGCTCCTACTGAGTTATGTTGGGGTGGTTCTTGTCTGGGAAACATACTCTTAAACCAGAGATTTCATTGCAATTCAATTGAACATATGTTTACATATATTTCTGTGTGTGTGTATATATACGTATCCATGCACACATGTATGATGGTTGGCCGGTACTTACTTGCAATCCTCACTCTCCAGCAGACCCCGGTAGGTAGAGATCTCACACTCAAGCCGGGCCCGGACATCCAGGAGCACTTGGTACTCTTGGTTCTGCCTCTCCAGGTCACTGCGGATCTCAGCTAGCTGGTCTTCAACATTGGTGATCATACTCTGTACCTGGGATAGCTGGGAGCTGTAACGGGCCTCAGTCTCTGTCAGGGTATTTTCCAGAGAATCTCTCTGCCATGGAGAAGAGAAAGAAAGCCAGAGAGAAAGAAAGTTTTTAGGATTTTCCAAATCCCAAGAATGCTTCATCTATCATCACTTCTTAGCCTTTGTAAATATTAAAGGATATGTGATAAATATAAAAGGATTCAGGCTTTCTCCCTTTCTCTATCACACTTTTAAATTCTTCCAGTTAGGCTTAAAGTAATGGACTAAGATAAGGCCCAAAGAGAACTCACCAGGTTGTGCTGGGCCTGCAGTTCAATCTCCAGGGCGTTGACCGTGCGTCTCAACTCGATGATCTCGGCCTGGCAGTTCTGCAGCTGCTCAGAGCTGGATACCACCTGCTTGTTGAGTTCCTCTGTCTGAAATGTCCCAAGGGGAGAGCCAAGAGGTGAGAGCAAGATCATTGGGGCCCCAGGAAGCCTCAGGTTCTGAAGTTGGCACGAGCAAGACCCTCACCTGAGTGGTGAACCATTCCTCCACATCTCTACGGTTGTTCTCCACCAGGGTCTCGTACTGACACCGGGTCTCATTCAGCACCCTGTTCAGGTCCACAGTTGGGGCAGCATCCACCTCCACATTGAGACGATCTCCGATCTGGCAGCGCAAAATGTTGACTTCCTGTGGACAGAAATCATTAGGGGAAACAAGCTCAGAAAAGATTGGTCTCTGAAAAAAGGCCTCCGTCCTTGGAAACTGCTGTCTGCTGACATGTTTTACAGGAGATAGCAGAACTAGGCAAATACAGAGTAGCTAAGAGAAGCTCATGGTTCATCTCTCCATGTTGGAACTCCTATTGCATTACATTGCCCTTATGCTTGGAATGGTAATGAGTTCCTGTAGCTGCTGGGGTTTTTATTTCTTGAATGCTACTAAATTCAATCTATCTCTTTACTTGTGTCTATCTTGTATATATTTTGACATAAATATGCTTTCTTTCCCAATAGAATATAAGCTTCTGGAGGGTAGGGGCAGTTTCTTTTTTCCCTTGTGTCCCCAACTTCTTTCATGGAGCCTGGCACATAAGAGGTTCTAAATACATTGATAATGATTGACTGAAGTCAATTTGTAGATTGGATCAAAGACCCTGCCCATCTGTCCTTTGCATGTCCCAGAATCAGATTGAAAAGAGATTATTCTACCTCTACTCTCAGAAACTGGATGGTTAAGCCTTAAAGAAGCTTCTGTAAGAGTCATCAGCACCAGATTTGGGAATGGCAATGAGCTTTCCAACATCACCAAAATGCTTGACTCCCACAGAAAACTAAAACTATATAATCTCATGACTATCTGCACCAAATGGGGAAGCTCCTTGGGACTTTTAATTTATTTATCCACCTTATTTAAAAGCAAGCCCTCTCCCCTCCTTATCCCTAATCCCACACTTTGCAATGAGGTATAACCAGCCTTCTTTGGTTCTGCATAATAATCCTAACCTCCTCATGATTCCTCTTGAGACAGATCAGCTCTTCCTTCAGGGATTCCACCTGAGCCTCCAGGTCCGACTTGCACAGGGTCAGCTCATCTAAGATCTTGCGTAGGCTATTGATATCAGATTCTACCAGCTGGCGCAGGGACAGCTCAGTCTCATACCTATGACCACAGAATACAGTTGTAACCAAAATACACAAGAGTTACGTTTCCCTCTTTGTGCAAATTATGCAGAAGAAGCAGAGAATACTCAAGATCCCTTGTTAGTCAATATGTCAAAATGTTAATTCTGAGCCAGGATTTTTTTAATGGATTTAGTTTCTTCTGTCTAGCCTAGAAGATGGGATCCCAACCTTTGGGGACATTGTTCAGTCCCTTCACACTAGGCAAAAGCATCGCTAGTTTGCCATCTGATATCTAAGGCATCTGTGTGTCTAGTGACTAAATGTGAAACAGGAAAGACAAGGGCCCCCTTCTGATCAGCTCACTTGGTTCTGAAGTCATCAGCAGCCAGCTTGGCATTGTCAATCTGGACCACTAGCCTGGCATTCTCTGCCTTGGTGCACAGTATCTTTGGAATGAAAAGTTACACAGTGAGCAAGATGTAAAAATATAGATGCAATCTTAATTTTTAAAAAATCTTTCAGTTGGAAATAGCCAAGAAGTAAGGCTGGACATTGCCCCAATTTCCAAGTTATAAAATTGATAAACAGCTTCTTAGACACAGACTAAAAGATTTACAAAATACTTTCATCTTAACCACTATATTTTAAGCTCTCTGTCTTTACCTTCTGCTGGAGCTCCTCAATGGTCCTGAAATAGGACTGGTAGTCTGGGCACACATAGGGCACTTGCTCTTGACACCACTCTTGGATCCTACCTTCCAGCTCGGCATTCTCCCTCTCCAGCTGCCGCACCTTCTCCAGGTAGTTGGCCAGGCGGTCATTCAGGAACTGCATGGTCTCCTTCTCCTTGCCATTGAAGGAGCCTTCGCAGAACCAGCCACAAGTGCCCACATTAGCAGGGATGTTGCAGGCCCCAGGGAGGGTGCAGCTATGGCAGCTGGGAGGCAGGCAGGGCCTGGAAGAGCAGCTGGTGCGGCAGCTGAAGTTGGGCAGGCAGCAGTTGTAAGGCATGGTGCTGAGTAGTGTTTGGCTATTCGGTTGGGCACAGAAGCCTCTTCTCCAGAGCCAGTGGGGTTATGGAACCTCTGTTTACCAAGGAATCTTTATAGTTCCCCAGCAGTGGGTGTGGACAGAATATCCAATGTCTTTTTTCTTTTTACTTCTTCACTGATTTTCAAAAGCCCTTCCCATCAGTCTGTTCTTTACCTTCCTCAGAGGAGTCCCTCACCTCATAAAAAGACTTTACTTGAGCTTCTTGCCAAGTCAGGACTCCTCCATTGTACTGTACACCCATGAAATAAGAGTTTTGTGGTACACCTTCAAAGAGAAAATACTCTTATACCCAAATACTTGCCCTCATTAAGTAGGTGTTGTTCAGTCAAGTGGCATTCCATTTGTGTCACTTGGAAGGGTGCATGAATTTGCATGAAGTGACAGTAATGGACCTTTGTCCCAATTGTTTTTCAAAGCAATATTAGATCTAAGGTCATGAGAGACTTGAGCACTAAAACATATGCCACCGTATTCCATGAACATGCATATGTTGACTTATTTGAAGGGAATGTGAAAGAAGACCATAGTGCACTGGTGAGGATTTAAAAAACTTAAGGCTTCCTCTGTAAATTTTCAAAAACACTGGTATTGGAGGAATCAAGTCATTTAAAGGTGGTCACTGGAAAGTAAGTTGGGGCACTAAGAAGACTTGAGATCTGAGTTCATAGCATTTTAGATTCATGGAGTTAAGGCCAGAGAAGACTAGCAGAATGTAAACTTCTTGAATTCAGGGGTTATTTATTTTGTCTTTGTATCTGTAGTACCTAGCAGAGCACGTAGGAAATATTAGGATCTTAGTAAGGATTTATCGATTGTTGCTCCAAGGTCATTGAGGCCAATGTACTTCTTTTAAAAAAGAGCAAACTGAGACCCAGATAGGTTGTAACTTGCCCATCATCACAAATGTAGTAAGATGCAAATCTGGGATTCTATCCCAGGTTCCCTGACTCTAAATCTAGCCATGTTTTGATTGTAACACACTCATTTTGAAATAGGGACTGAAAAGCAACTTGGTGAATATAAGATGTGAAGACAGTCCAGGTAAGTGTAATGTCCTAGAAAAAAAAGGAGGCAGAAAAAAGGTCAAAGCAATATCCAGGCTAAGCAATTAGTCTGTTTGAATGTAAGGACCTTACCAGGGAAAAGGAAACTGAGGGAAGAAATAGAGTTCTTTCAATAAGCCTTTATTAAGAGCCTCCTATCTCCAAGGCACAGGAAATACAAAGACCCAAGTTAAGGAGTTCCTGGCCTCAGGGAGCTTATGCTCTGCTGGGGGAGTGGGGGCGGGATATAATATGAACACAGATATGCAGAAACAAAGTATAGATAAAAATAAATACAAAGAATGGGAGGGGGGCATGACAATTAGGGAAAACAGCAAAAGCTTCATGTAGAAAGTAGCACCTAAGCAGGCCTTGAAAATAGCTAGGGTTCCCAAGAAGTCAAGCAGGGCAGGAGACTGAAGGCATCTAAAGTCATTGCAGGGGGTGATAGGACCCACTTAACAAGAATTTTTGGTGAGGATTCCTTATATGTACCAGATTGAACCAGATGCCTTTCTAGCTCTCAAATTCTGGGATCAAAGTCAAGTCAACAAGCACTTATTAAACACTTTGCTAAGTGCTGAGGATATAAGGAAAAGCAAAAACACAGTCCCTGCCTTCAGGAAGGTCCCAATCTAATGGGAGAGACAACATGCAAACAAGTATGTGCAAACAAGATAAAATGCAAGGTATTTGGATCTTGAGATTCAGAAATTTAGGAAAAATACTTCCTGACTAGACAGGACTATGTCTCTGGTTGCCATACACCTGTTTTACTTCACAGGCACCCCTATTTCAATTTTAGATTTCTGCCAGGTTTACAATATATAACTGTGCTTCTTGCTCTTTGCCCATCTCCATGGCAAATGAGCATTCATGATGTTAGCCTCATGTTGTTAACTCATCCCTGAGTTAAAAGGTTCTCTCTCCACACAGGTCAGTGTTATTATCATTGATTGTTGGCATACTCTTCAGATGAAAGACAAACAGGACTACAAAGGGCAGCTGTGGTCAAGATGGAATTGCTATCTCTCTGTTTCTCCTCCAAGACAATTAAAGGGTGGGAAATGACTCGGTTCTGAGTGAAATGCTCCCAAGGCTTTTCAAAACCAGGGCATGAGATTGTTTGACTTGAAAGCTTCCATCTTAAAGAGGGGCTCCAAAGCACCCCAACTCCTTCAGGAATCTATGAGCACCTGTGATTATGACACATGGAGAGATCTACAGAGTGGCAGCTGCTTCAGAGAGGGGAGGGCTCCATCTGGGATGCACAGTCCAGGTCCTGCACCCACCCGAAGGTGCTCCAAAGCATGAACCTTCTAAGAAGGAGAGATCTGTCCAGCACTCACCCCTTCTGCTTGAGGGGTAAAGGAATGGACAATGATGAACAAAATGTTTGGACCAAATGTCTGAAGTTTCCTTCCAGTTGACACCACTTGCATGGAGATATCTCTTGTCTTAACTATGCATTAGCATATGTAGCCCCTGGAAAACCTGGGTTTGCTGGAAATGTGTGAAGCCATGACACCAATATTACAGGACTGGACTGACAAGAAGCTATATACATATATATGTATATATGCATGTATATATACATACACTTGAACAAAATGCTGGATGAGCCAGAAAGAAGGAGAAGATGGAAGTAAAGACATCAAGAAAAAACAAAGGTGAAAAGTTCTTCTGAGGATTTTTAAATTAGCAAAAGGAAGCCAATGCTACAATAAAACTGGACTATGGATGAATATATTCTGCTGGAGAGGTAAAAGAGGAAAAAGTCCAGAAGAGCATCTATTGATTGGCAACAGGGTGGTCCAAGCTGGTAAGTGCCCCAGGGAGACAAGAGTGGAGCCATCTCTTAAAAGGAATTGAGATCACAGAAACCACAGAATGTCTGTGGCCTCTGGGAGAGGATACTAACAGAAGTCCCAGGGAATACCAGGTTGTAAAAGTTAGTCCAGCAAAGGTTAAAGATTTCAGTGGAGTAGTTAGGAGGTATTTGGAAGCTGAAAATACGCTGGTGTCTGCAGCCAAGCGGTTGTTGGGAACTGAGAGTTCTATCCAAACCTCGTTGTCATTTTTGGGTACTTGTGAACAGGAAGAGTGAGAGCTGAGTGGAGGAATGGCTAAAAGGGACATGGAATGCCAACTATGGCGGTACTTGGGTCTGCCAAGGTGGAAAGGGATCAGCAAACTCCCCGAAATAATCTTTACTGATACGATGCTGGAAAGAGAAGAAAGAGCCTGCTGCTGCTTTCTGGACTCCTTGCATTATTAGGATGACAACAAAAGGCAAGTGATACAAAGAGGAGTTAAAGACGGACCCAAAGCCTTCAACATCTGAATGGTAAGTAGACATAATTCTGCCACTTTCTGAATATCTCATCCTTTTTTTTCCCTCAAGATGCTCAAAATGCTAAAGGAATCGTGTTCTTTTGCTCCTTCAACCCATGAGAAAGCTCAGGCATGGAGAAGTGGAGAGTTGTCTCTGAGCTAAGACTAAAACTCAACTCTGAGTTCCAAATCCACACTCACACACATACACATTGGCTGCTGCAGAGGGTGAGAGATCAGTGGTTCTGACACACACATACAAACATTGACTGGGGCAGTGGGTGAGGGATCAGGGGCTCTTGTGTTTCAAGTAGAAAGAACAAACAAGGTGAAAACCTTCAAGAGATATAGGAAGTGAGAGGAACTTCGAGGAAAGAAAGGGATACTATTTCATCTAAGGGAACGCTAGATGAACATTTGAAGCTGAGTATGTTTATATCATGTAATCTAGAAAATAGCGTAATGTATGTATTTGTACAAGGATAGAGACTGTACCTTTGATTTCATTGATGTAGGAAATTCTCAAGTGAGTAAAATCCCTCTACTGATGAAAGGTGTGCCTTTTTCTTGCAAATTATGGTCTTAGAGAGTTGCCCAGAAAATTGAGCACTCAGTTTACTTAATGGAGAGGGTAAGTGACTTTGTTAGGGTCACAAAGAGAGTATGTGTCAGAGGTGGGATTTGAATCAAAGTCTAATTAATTGGATCATCTTAATGTTAATAGAATTTTGCAAGGACCTGGCTTCTTTTTATGACATTTAAGATTATTTAGGGGCAGCTAGGTGGCACAGTGGATGGAGCACTGGCCCTGAAGTCAGGAGGACCTGAGTTCAAATCCGGCCTCAGACCAAACACTTGATACTTACTAGCTATGTGACCCTGGGCAAGTCACTTAACCCCAATTGCCTTTAAAAAAAAAAAAAAAAGATTATTTAATAGTATCCCAATGGGATTTTTTTTGTTTTTTCTTTTTTGTTCAACTCTCTACCTATCTTACTGATAAGTTCAAAAGAAGTGACAATAAAATATGCTTTAAAAAAACCTATGTAATTACTTAACTCAGCCCTCAACGAATCCAAAATAGAATAATGTCCAATATTAGTTTTTCTGCTATTTTTAATTTTTTAATAAGGAGGAAAGAGTGCTATGCATCATACTTAGTGATTCTTGCAGGCCCTCTTTGATTTTTGAACATGAAAATTAGTTTAAAATAGAGGAAAGGGCATCCACCATGTGGTATGGGAAGAGAGTATGGATATGGAAACAGCCAAAGAACATTGAAGAGATGTGCTGGCTGGAGCAAGGGGAAGGGGAAAGGAAGGAGTTAAGCTTTATTAAGTACCTAATATGTACCAGACACTATGTTAAAACACTTTAGAAATATTATCTCATTTGATCGTCTCAAAAACCCCAGGAGTTAGGTGCTATCATTATCCCCATTTTACAGTTAAGAAAACTGAGGCAAAAAGAGATTTAAGTGATTTGCCCAGAGTCACACAGCTGGAGAGTGTCAGAAGCTGGTTTTGAATTCAGGTCTTCCTGACTCTGGGCCCAGCACTCTATCCACTGTGCCACCTAGCTGCCAGAGTTAGAGGAAGGGAAATCAGGACTATGTGAGGACAGAGGGAATTAAGCAACCTAGGAATGAATCCCAGCTCTGCTAGTTACTACCTTGTAACTTTGAGCAATGTCATTCAACTTCTCTGGACCTCAGTTTCCTTAGCTATAAAAATGGGAGTGATGGATTAAAATTATTTCTAAGGACTGAATCATACCTACAAGCAGGAACAACCTGGAAGAGTAGCTTAGAGGGAATGATCAGGAATGACTGCACACATATTTCAGAACTAGGTAAGGAGACTG